CACCCACACCCACCCACACCCACACCTACACCCACACCCACACCCACACCCAAACCCCACACCCACACCTACACCCACACCCATCTGATGTACAGTTATCACATAGCCCGAAAGTACAGGAAGTACGCCGAAGTATGGCATTTTCGCTTCTTCCCCATTGGGTTAAACTAATGCGATTCTAGGAATCCTAAATGTTCTCTAATACCTCCATACGCTATAGCACCATATTCCGAGAATCTCGGTATCCATGTCCCTACAGCCATCCATCAGGTGGACTTCTTCCTAACTGATACATTCCCTCATAAACTCCAACATTCTCACAGCCAGACACTTTTCATTTCATGAAATCCTTGGAAACCAACTTTTACTCTGACAAGCGTGTTGTGCCCATAGAAAGCTTAGAGAAGGTACTGCTTTTTTACCCCTTCATAGTTCCAGCGCTTCTGCGACCCCTGCAATCATATAATATACATCATGAACAGCATCTCTCTCCATATCGGACATTGTTTTATGTCATGGAATCTTTGGACTTCTTGCTGCCCTAGGAAAGCCCTATTGTGCCTAAAAGTGGTGTTAGGATGCCCAGATTTCCACCGGTTCCCAGTTCAAGATGTTTTGGAATCTTTTGAATCTGATTGAATCCATCATGATCAACAATATTCTGAATACCAGGCATTGTTTCATGTCATGGAATCCTTCGAATCCTTGCTCTCCTCCCAAAGCCCTATGGTGACTAAAACGGGTTTCCTGGAGATCAAGTTTTGCATATCTACCCACTTCAAGATCTCTTGGAATCCTTGGAATCTGTTGGAACTCATCATGGTGTACAATATTCTCAATACCTGACATTGTTTCATGTCATGGAAAACTTGGAATCCTAGCTTCACTACGAATACCCTGTTGTGGCTGAAAGCGGTTTTCTGGTGGTCCAGATTTGCACAGCTTCCCATTTCAAGATCTTTTGGAATCCTTGGAATCCGATTGACTCCATCATGATCTACACTATTCTGAATACCAGAATTGTATCGTCTCAGGGAATCCTTGGAAACCTTCCATCACGCCGAAAGTCCTATGTGGCTCAAAACGGGTTTTCTGGAGGTCTACATTTGCACAGGTTCCGGGTTCAAGGTCTTTTCGAATCCTTGGAATCCAATTGAATCCATCATGATCTACAATATTCTGAATACCAGGCATTTTTCATGTCATGGAATACTTGGAATCCTTCATCTCCTCCCAAAGCCTTATGGTGACTAAAAGGGGTTTTCTCGAGATCAAGGTTTGCATACCTTCCCACTTCAAAATCTTTTGGAATCCTTGGAATCTAATGGAATTCATCGTGGTCTACAATAGTCTCAAGACCAGATATTGTATCGTATCATGGAATCCTTGGTCTCCTCCCAAAGCCCTATTGTGACCAAAAGGAGTTTTCTCAAGATCAAGATTTGTATACTTTCGTACTTCAAGATCTTTTGGAATCCTTGTAATCTAATAGACTTCATCATGATCGAGAATATTTGCAATACCTGATATTGTATCATATCATGGAATCCTTGGAATCGTTGGAGGAATTCAAGATTTCCTCTTTCAGGGAAGTCAGCCGGGTGTTTGCCTTGTTTTTTGTTATTTCTCTTTTTTTGTTCGTTTAAGGTTTCTTATGGTAGAATGGATATTTTTATGTGTTTTTTTTGGGTTGGCTTATATAAGTAGCATAAATTGTATTTTTTTTTAATTATAATATAATTAGAGACACTGTCAATTAATTAGTGAGGTTATTGATTAGGTGAGTCAGTTATGAATGGTGAATGTCATTTCTAGTTTTCGTTGTTCAATTTTGGTTTGATTGAAGTTGGAATTTTTGGACTTGATGACTTCCCAGAACGACGACATAGAGATTCCCGTGTCGATCGAATGACATACCGACGGGTCCATTGAGTTGGTTCGATTGTCCTCCACTACTGTTTCTACCAACAGTGACTATTCCTTGTGTGGCTCCTTTAGGCCAACGCATGATTCGATTATTCGCTGCATCAGCCACATAGACAGTGCCCAATTGATCGACAACGACTCCCCGAGGAGATGAAAATTGTGTAAGACCATTTCCTTGTCCTTGACCACCGGCCACGACAATGCCTTGTTTTGCACCTTTCATCCATTTCGTCACACGATCATTTCCCCCTTCAGATACGTACACTGAATGATCTCGATCAACGAATACGTATCGTGGGCCATAGAGTTGATCGAGACGATTTCCACTTCCATTGCCACCTGCAACCACTGTTCCTTGAGATTCTCCTCTTCGATATCGTCTCACTTCATTTTTTCCATAGTCAATGACATAGAGAGATCCATTCTCGTCCATTGTCAAACCCACACATAAGATGTTGGAGAGGATTGTTTCTCCACTTGTCCCATTTCGACGAGACCATCGAACCACTCTTCTATTCGAACGATCGGAGATGATGAGACTATCTCTCTCTTTGTCGATAATCACATCTTGTGGGTAATTCAATTGATGATCTCCACTTCCTCGTCCATTTCCACCGGCAACCACTTGGCCACTCGTTGCACCTCGTTTCCATTCCACAATACGATGATTTAATTCATCAGCAACATAGATTGTTTGATCATCATCAACATACAAACCCAATGGATTTGAGAGTTGATTGGTTTCATTGCCCTGTCGATTTCCTCCAGCCACAGTGATACCGTCTTGTTGCCATCGAGCATTCGGATGAATGTCAATTGAACTCCCACGTAATGGATAGACTGGAATAGAGAGAGAAAGCAGAGAGGATAAAATAAGAGAGAAAAAAGTGAAAAGTTCATTTGAGTTTTTGTAAAGTCAACATCCTTTCAAATTTTGGCTTGTTTCAGATTTCTTCTTTTGACACTGAGGTGTTTTCTTTTTGGTTTTCTTTATTACTTAATTTAACACAGAATAACTATTGATATATGGTTTTTGTTTGTTTTTTTTTTCGACTATCTTTATATCTTATATTTGAATTAGTAGACTTCAAAAAAGATTTTAGTAGAGTTGAAGTGTAGGTCACCGTACGTAATTAATAAATCATTAATACAAATAAATAAAGTTCTTTTTGTTTTGCTTGTAAAGAGAAATAGATCATGATAGTCATTCTATTACAAATAATGAATTTTTTTTGAGTTGTATGAAAGATATAATTATGAATATGCATATATATAGAAAACATTGAAATCTCACATCCTTTTATCGACTAATAGACAGAGCGAGAGAGAGAGTCATGAAATAACAGAAATAAACTATATAATTAAACAAGAAAAAAATCTTTATTATATTCATATTGATTTTAATAGAACTTTTTCTTTATATATTATTAGATCTTATAGCAACTTCATGAGAGAACATTCAATTATTTACTATATTGCTTTTTTTCTAGGTTCAAACGAGCTTGCAATTTTCTTCATAGATCGAGAAAAAGAATAAAAGTTCATAGTTTTACATGTATTTTTAAATTAAAAATAATAATATTAGAAGTTGAATCTATTTCATTAGTTTTCTTATCCATTTTTTTTTCTATATGTATGTTAAATGTATGTTAAAGAACATTCTAGACAAAAGAAACTTCTTCAGCCTACACAACTGAAATTTCTCTATTACTTTTTTATTTTCTTTTTGTTTTTCATAGTTTTATCTGCAAAATCACATGCTCATTAGAAGTTATTTTTTTTGACACAATATGTTGTTCTTCTAGAATCGATTGTTATAATACGTTCTTTTTTACATAGAGAAATCTACTCTTAGCTCTCATTTGGGGCTTAGCAAGATTCGTTTCCCGGTCTACAATTTTCAACAATAATTAATTAAATTATTGATAGGCGATATTTATGCCTTACATTCAGAATCTCTTAAGACTATATCATTATTTAAAGCTATAGAACTTGGGGTTGTTTCAAATTAAAGTCAACATCAGTGAACAACTTTTCGACACACAAAAATTACAATTTTGATCCTTATTTTCATTTATTTTCTATTTTGTCATTTTTTATATGACTTGCGCTTGCAAAATTAGGCCAACAAGTCAGTCCAAAATTCAAATATAAAAATTTATGATCCTATAAAAATTTACTGATACTTGAAGTTTCTAGATTTCTTTTGTTGTTTGAATCAAAAATGTCTTGTTTTGAGTGAAACATCTTATTCAAACGTAATACTGTTACTTTTCTTGACACATTTTTTATCAATTATCTTCGAAACTGTGACAGCTAGAAAGTTTGCCTAAATACCATTCGACGTATCCTCATCATGTTTTATTCATGATATAAATATGACGTGAGTGTGAGTGTGGACTGCTTTCTTCCATGCACGCCCACATCCACCCTCAACTCTATACTATGATATTTTTGGGAGATATTCAACTATGTTTGAAAGAGTATGTCAGGATGCAGTGCATGACAGATCTCTTTTTTTTAAACAATTCTTACATTCTCAAAAAAATGGCGTTCTTATTATATAACTACTATTTTATTCGATAACAGCGAAGATCAATTTAAGAAAGGACTCTGTCATGTTCTGTATCTTGACATATTCTTTGAAATCAAAGAAAAAGTCATAGGCTACAATGGAGCTCTCTTGAACATGCTAGGATCCCCAATCAAAAAAACATAAACTAAGAAAAAGCGAAAACGATTTTCAATTTATCTCAGAAACCATATTTTTTCAAGCAGAAAATGATAGACAGTTTTTGAAACAAAAGCAAAGTACCACATAAAATGTCATATCGTTTTTACAAGATTTGACTTCGTACTATCTCTCTATGCATTTATCTCAATTTTCATGTTTTTCACGAAAATCGACTTTTCTTTTAGGGAGAGCGGCTAAAGCAAAATGTGAAGATATAATGATAAAAATGATTCTACTACTTTTCAATGTGTTTCTTTTTGTATTTTTCCAATATATATAAAGTTGGGCACACAACATAAAAAAACATATATATTTTTGTAACATGTGAACTATCATTCAGTATTGACTATGCTAAGTTGATATCATTATTAAGAAAGGGTGTCATTCGAAAATAAACGGTGATTCATTTTTATTCCTATGTTCTTATGGAGTATTATGTTAAAATAGATTTAGACATGTTGCTTCTTTACATATTTAAGATGTAAAATTTGATCACATTTTTAAAAAAAATGTTACTAATAATGTACCCTCTTAACAAAGGTATCAGTTGAGTACAATACATGCTCAATAAAAATTTAGATATTAGATTTCAAAATATATCTTTTCAATCTGTTCGACTTTGTATATTCGAAATATACAAAAATTAAATCAAAATAAGCTCGAACCTTATGAAAACTATAATTGGAACTTATGTATGATATCTAACTATAACTATTCGCTTTTTCATCATTTTTGCTGACATGAATAGAAAAGCATAAAAACATTCAATCGCTTTACATGTATGTCCAATTTCAATGAAAGTACTACAAATTTGAAGACAAACTTATATTCAATCATTTGCCTTCGGTAGCCAATCTATCATCTACATTAATTTTTAACTAACTATAAGAAAAACAATGCAATGAATGTCTAAAAAAATGTCAAGTAATGCATAAATAGAAGTGCAAATGCGACAAAAAAGAATCGTTTACTACGTAATATGAGTGAAAGAGATAAATATTCAAAGAAATGAGAAAATTAATACAAAATAATATGGAAATGCACAAAATCAAACTGAAGAGAAAAAAAATAAGCCATTGGGCCATTAAAAAATAACCTTTTTCCAAATTTGAAATAGTCGATATACTGAAATACTCTAAAGCAACGAAGACTCATGAAAACTGAATGCACACGGTCACCTGAAATCGGGCAAGAAAAGAAAACTCAGAAACACTTGTTTTATTTTAATTTTAGTGTCTTTATTATTTTAATTTATATTTTAATTTGCTTCTCTGGTAGAGAAATGTTACCTTGAGTATATCCTAATACTGTCTTAGACTCATTACCAAGAAAAGTTTGACAAATCATATACTTGATGAGGAATATCGACTAATCGAATGAGAAGAATGAAATAAAAGAAAATATTCACACCTTGGATGCATAACTTATCTATTCGTCTATTTATGAGTGAAATCAGTGAATACATCGAGATACAAATATTTCTTCGTCATCACTATATTATTCGATTTTTAGAAATATATGTTCAAAATCCTCATACGAGAATGTGGTTTAGAGTTCTCATTATATAAAAGTAGAAGCATAACGAAGAATAAAACCGGCACCTGATGAATCCTGAACTGCAAAATTCTGACAAGATTTCGTCAGAATACCAGAAATCGGATGTATACTTGCAAAAAAAGAACTCTTTTCCAAATTTTCCAAGATGCCATCAGTAGATTTTCAAGAACCAGCATTTCTCATTCTCAGAAGATAAAACACTGATCTTTCATGGGATATTGACACGATAATATCAGAATTCAGCAAAAATTAGATTGAATCTTATGTAGAAAAGAAGACTAACATAAATTCAAAAGGTTTTAACAAAGCCTTCTCATCATCTTCATAGCAGAGTCCCATTGAAATTCATGGCCAAACCAAGCTAAAATCTTAGCAAGAAAGTAATATGCTCCGGCAGAATGCCAAGTTTATAAGTCTTGGTACGATATCATGAGGATACCAGGAATCCGATTTATGCCTACTCGTAGAACCTTCAAGGTAACGTTTCACGAACTTTTTTGACGGCTTTCAAGAATAAGCGTTTCGAATCCGTGCAAAAGCAATGGTGATTCTAATAAGGATTGTGAGTGTAGAACTTAGGGATTCATTTAGAATCTTTGCCGATGATTTTCTCGAGACCCACTTAGACAAACAAGAAAAATAAACTCATAACAACACGTCGGAATAATAACGAAAAAAAAATCATAAAAATGTTTTCGAACGAATACATATACGTATCAGTTCAAGATTTTTGACGTATTGTAATGCGCTCGGTTTTCGAATTGAGAGTATGGCTATAGAAAACAATCGTATTTCATAGATATGGTTCGCTTAAAGTATAATTCAGGCGAATTAAGTTGGTGTGTAGATATGGCTGTGGCAGTGGGTATGTATCTTCTAGTCAAGGACATCCACATCTCATACCCACACTCACACCCATGCCCCACATCCTCGGAGAGATAGAAAGTGTAACGTTAAGCTATTATCAGGTTTTTGGAGAAGATCTGCTGCAAAACATTGTCTAGAAATGATAGAAGAGTTTCTATGAACTCTAGACGATGATCTTAGCTGTAAAATAAAGAACAGTGTCCAAATTCGACACTGAAAAATGCTCAGATTTGATTTTCTTAGAAGAATCTCAGAACGAAGGATTTTCAAGTCCTTGTAAATAAATATCGGACCTATTCCGTATTTATTTGAGCACCACAAGGAATGACTGTGTGGATGGATGAGTATGACTGTTCTTATTCTTCACTCGTACCTATCCACACCCAAGAATTTTAAATTTGATATTCGTTTCTATGGAAAGAAAATTCAATTAATAAGCCATTGGTTACAATATGTAACAAGATTGACATATGCCAAGTTTTAATCAGATGTGTGAAAGGTCTTCTGGAAATCTTCATACTAGAGCATTCTAACATGTTGGTCAATTAAGACTAATGCGAACTTAACATCACTACATAAGACTCAACGTCGTCGTATGCAGTGTCGTGGACGTACTTCCTTTTTTTAATTAAGTACCATCACGACCAGAATGACAACGAGTCTTTTTATCTGTCTTTGTTCACTTCGGAATAAATATTCAATGTTATTACCATTTTGTAAGAAAATGACTTACTAATTTGATTTTGATCTGTAAGAACAATGTTTTGGTTTGTGATAGAAGCTTTTTTAAAGCTTTTTTTAATCATGGATATCAGACAAAAATACTACTATTAGGTTAAGTTTTTGGCCTTACTAAAGAAACTTTTATCTATTCTCAACTAAGAAAAATACATATGAAACGTTCCATAGACAATTTTCGGCTGTCATCGAAGAGAATAAGAAGAAGAAGAAGCAGTGAAAACAAACTATATGAATGCATAAAGAGGAAGTTATTTGAAAACTAATAGTTGTCAATTTAAATGCTCAAAAACGTATTTTTTATTTACAAAAAAACGATGTTACGTATACAGATATTCGAAATTTTGTAATAATAAACTTTTCAACTAACTGGGCAGTTCTAAAAATTTGCTCTATTCACATTAATAGGGTACCATTGATAAAGTTCATTTTGATTTCTTCTTTTTATTGTCTTAGATAAGAACTTAATATTATCTATGAAGCGCTTCATATATAGTTTTTCTTACTTAATAACAAGTGAAATTGTTTTTATGATACCAACAATAATACTTGATAGTAATATTTGTTTGTATCATCTTTATAAAAAAAATTTTGAACAAACTTCTATTGCTAATCAAAAAATCAGCCCATTTGAGTGAACCGACTGGAAGATATATTTCATTCTTTTTTCGTGTCGTAGTGCTATTTATAGACCATCCTGTATATATAATGTTTTCTTAACTGATCTTCTAGGGTAAATACACATTTCTATCTTTGAACGCGATAGAAATTCGTAAAATTCGCCGTAAAAATAGGTAAAAACATCGTTTTAACCAAAATGTTAATGTGTTTTTTTAGGAATCCTGTCCGATTGGTAGGCTAGGAAGTAACGAGATCTGTGAGAATCCTACACTAGGAAAGTCTGAGAATATTCCATGAAGATCCGTGAAACTTGATACATATTAATTATCGATATCTTCAATGCAC